CGGGGTGAGCAGGAGCAGCAGGGCACTCAGCGAGGGGACATCCTGCCCAATGCTGACGAGACATGGTATCTCCGAGCAACCCTGGAGGTGGCCGCTGGGGAGGCAGCTGGCCTGTCCTGTCGGGTGAAGCACAGCAGTCTAGAGGGCCAGGACATCGTCCTCTACTGGGGTGAGAAAGAGCTGGGCCCCACTGGAAATGGCAGGAGGTGGTCCTCAGGCATAGAGGGAGGCACTGGGGAAGGATGTGGCTTGATACACCCAGGTTAGAAGAGTTTAGGAGATGAGGCCCCCAATAAGAGGGATAGAGAGAGGGGTTCCAGATACAGGAAGGAGGGAAATAAAGACCTGAAAGTTAAAAAGGATTGAGAAAAAGTGTTCTGTATACAAGAAGAAACAAGACTACAAAATTCAAGGATCCAGAAGTAGGCAGCGAATAAACAATTCCAGGAGGATTCATTCCTCGGCAGAAAGGGAGCCAGGCCTTTGGGAAGGCAGGTTAGCAAAGATAGCCTGGTTGGTTGAGTGATCCCTGTGTAGGGGCCGATGAATCTGCCTATAGTATCTCATCTCATCATTCACAATTTTCTTTGAAGCAAGTACTGCTCTTCTCATTTTATAGATGAGGAAATGGAAGCTGAGATAGGTTAACTGCCCGGAGCCACATAGAAAGTGGATGGGCTGAATTTAGATTCAGGTCTGCCTTGCTACAAAGCTGTTGCCCTCTCCCTCCATGCTACACTAGCAAATACCAAAGTGGGCTGAATTTGGGATGCCCAGGCACTGAAAACAAGATGGGGAATCTAAACTTATGAGAAATAGAAATCAGTGTTTTAAATGGAGGAGGAAATAAGAAGTACCTGGTACCCTCATACATGCCTAGACCAGGGGATCAGATATAGAGAGGGAGGGGTCCTGTGCTAAGAGACAGCCTATGTTCCTCCAAAGCAGGTGGGAGCCACACCTCCGTGGGCTTGATCGCCTTGGCAGTCCTGGCATGCTTGCTGTTCCTCCTTGCACTCATTGTAGGCTTTACCTTCCGGTTTAAGAGGCAAACGTAAGTCTCCCCTTTCCTTTTCCTCAACCTCTCTCCCCTTCATTCCTGGCTCCGCTTTTCCTTAATGGTCTTTCCTTTTCTATTCTCTCACAGTTCCTATCAGGGCATCCTGTGACTTGCCTTGCCACATCTGTGTCTCTGGAACCCAGGATCTCTGGACCTCAGGTTCCTAGGACTTCAGCCCTGGTCTGCTCGGGAACTGAAGATGAAAGGAGAGATACCTTGAAAAAGTAGAGAACAGTCATAAGGCAGCTTTCATCATACCCTTTTAACACTTATCTAAAAGAATTTAAATTCTTTTAAAAAAATTACACTACAAGTTTATAAGCCCAAATGGCTCTGTGAAATCAGAAGGGCAGACGCCTGCAAACTTCTGTCTGAAGACCTACCAGGGACAAGCAGGTAAGAGCTGGGGTATGAGTGTGTGTGACGGGATCTGCAATGAACTGGAATGAACGCACATGTCCTATCCAAAGGAATCAGCTGCACTTGCTTGTTGTCAAGTATAAAGTCAGCAGGACCTGGTTTGGCTTTAACCATTTTTCAAGAAAACTGGAAATCTGGATTTTTGTGCGAACATGCCTGATTTTAAAAGGTTGACTCAAGTTTTTACAAAATACTATGTGGGACATCCAAATACATACCTGCTGACTGATGACAAACCCAGGAGTTTGTGTCTCTTTTATAAAAAGTTTGCCCTGGATGTCATATTGGCAGTTGGAGGACACAGTTTCTATTGTAAATTTGGATTTACGACTGAAGAAGGACATTTCCTGTTTAAAAGAAAGTTAGATTATAAGAAACAGAGGCGTCTCACATTTTTACTTGGTGTAATTAATAAATGAAGAGAAATCATAGTGTATGTGTATTATGTTGAAAAAAATTACTCTGAGTAGGGATATTTCTCTCAAATGGTCATCCCTTTTTTTCCTTGGAAGAAGATTGTCATGAAGGCATCCCTTCCCTCCCAAAACAACAACAGCAGCAATAGCAGTCTCCTTTACTTACAGCTATTAAAAGAGACAGTGCAGGGAAAGGGCCACCACTTGGGCAAGCGTGAGCTGCAGCGATAATGGTGATGGTAACCCAGCTATGCTGTGTTCTTATCTTAGAGAGGACAAAGCAGGAAACTTACAGGAACAGCAGACCTTTCTGATGCCAAAGAAATAAGGAGACCAAAATCATGTTTGCCTTGCTGGGAGGTAATCTCCTGGCAGTCAGGGTCCCTGAACACCCAGAAAAAATAAATGAGACTTAACTGTTGGAGAGTGTTTGTTTGAGAAAAGTGATATTTCACACTCTCTGTACTAGACTTGCATATATGAATTTAGGATATGGGAGAAGATTCTGCTAGCTTCAACATATCCCAAATCACTTGGACTTACCTATAATCCAAGTGCTTGGGGAGGCTGAGGTTGGAGGATTGCTTAAGGCCAGGCATTTGAAATCAGCCTGGGCAGCATAGTGAGATCCTGTCTCTACAAAAAACTGAAAAATTAGCCAGTCATAGTGGTGAGCTCCTGTAGTCCTAGCTACTCTGGAGGCTGAGGTGGGAGGATCCCTTGAGCCCATGAATTCCAGGTTAGTGTGAGCTATGATTGTGCCACTGCACTCTGAGGGTGACAAAGGGAGACCCCCGTCTCAAAATAAAAAAAAAAAAAAAATTGTGCTAGCTTCTAAATCAATGGTTCCCAAATTGTAGTAACCTGACCAGCAGCCTCAGCAGGACCTGGGAACTTGTTAGAAATGTAAATTGTTTTGGGCCTCATCCTATACCCCCTGAATGAGAAACTCTGGGTCTGGGAGCGGGCTCAATAGTCAAGCTCCCTGGTGATTCTGATGTTAGCTAAAGTTGGAGAACCACTGTTCTTAGGCATTGTGCAGTGTTATACAACAACTTCCTCAAAATGCTAAGTGAAAAGGAGATTGGCCTGGTGTCAGTCAGGGAAGGTGTCCTGGAGGGAGGGGAATTTGAAGCAGGGTTTTGAAAAACAAAGGCAGTGAGGTGAACCAGCAAGTGCACTGGCTGAAGGGACTGGAGTTCTAGCCTCTGAACCAGTTTCCTCCTGTGCCAAAGGAGGATAATAATGTCTGTCTTGATTGTCTCCTGGACTTCTGGAGTTCAAGTGTGTATTGCCTTAAAAGATGTGGAGGCTGTTGCTGTGTTTGGTACCACATCGCCCTCAGGTGGCGCTCTTCAGCTTAGGTTCCTCTAGCAGTGTCAAGTTTGTGAACCAAACCCACTGGCCTTTCTGCATTCTGAGGGCACATGTGTTAAAGTCCCTACTGATGTCCTTTTGGAAACGCCTCTGCATGAATTTATGGTAACTCTGACTCATCTTTAAACAATTTTATTTAGAAAATAAAGGCTTATCTCTCCAGGAAATTTTTTCTTCCTTCAAATAAATACTCAGTTCCAAATATCTCAGATAATCCTGAGAATTCATCTTAGAACATGTTAATACTCTTTTTATGAATATCTTGTTTCTTATTGAGTGTTGTGCTGATTGTCAATTTATTACCACTCTGCTCCAAATTCATTCTTCATAATGGGCACAGTGATAATGAACAGAGTTCCTTTAAAGTCAGCACAATGACTTTCTCCTTTAAAGTCAGCACACTGTTAAGCTTTTTCAGTACAGGGCCCTGGAGGGACACAGCAGGAGGAAGGGGCTCCCCTGCAGCTTCCAGCTGCTGCATGGTGGGTCAGTGAAGGGGCTGTGAAGACATCCTGTGTGGCACTGCTTGTGGTCCCTGCCCCTCCCAGTACCCGATTCTATCTGCAGACCCTCACATCACCTGTGCTTAATCCGCCCCCTGCCTGGAGGTTTCCACTGAGCAGTACTTCCTCTGCAAGCCCCTGCCTCAAGCCCGGATGGTTTCTTCCAGCTTGTCTAGCTACTTCAGGCCAGCTTTGGCCTGGGTAAACCTGTGAATGTCTCTGCTACCCAAGGTATGGGACTGAACCATGCCTTCTCCAATAAGATCTGTGCCCCAGCCTTGGGGAGGAGTCACACTTCCGAGTTGCTCTTCTTTGGATATTCTCCTTCCACCCTAGGGTTTTTTGTTGAATTTTCTTATATATTATAATTGTTTTCTTATTATGTTTAATAATTCTGTTAAACTTCCTCTGCTTAACTCACGGTGGAGTTTCCATTTTCTGATTGGACTCAGGAGGATACATGTGTCTTCTCAGCTATGCACAGAAATCTGTGAACTTTCCAAAGCTACTACTTGAATTTGCTTTTGCTTATGAGTCTATGACATGGAGTTGGCCCACTTTGCTTTGCGGCGTAGCTCTTTCTTTAAGAGCTGAGAATGGATGTTCTTTTTTGCCAAAACCATCCTTGGAAGTACCTGCTCCACTTTTTTTTCTTCAATTATTTGTTTGTTTGTTTGTTTATTTATTTATTGATTTATTTTAGATGGAGTCTTGCTCTGTCACCCAGGCTGGAATTCAGTGGTGTGATCTCGGCTCACTGCAACCTCCACCTCCCCCTCCCGGGTTCAAGTGATTCTCCTGCCTCAGCCTCCCAAGTAGCTGGGATTACAGGCGCACACCACCACACTCGGCTAATTTTTGTATTTTTAGTAGAGATGAGGTTTCACCATGTTGGCCAGGCTGGTCTCGAACTCCTGACCTCGTGATCCACCTGCCTTGGCCTCCCATAGTACTGGGATTACAGGCATTAGCCACTGCACCCAGCCTCAACATTTATTACAGGTTCAAGGGTTATATGTTTAGTTTTGTCACAAAGGTATATTGTGTGACGCTGAGGTTTGGAGCACAAATGAATCCGTCTCCCAGATAGTGAGCATAGTACCCAATAGGTAGCTTTTCAGCCCTTGCCTCCCTTCCTCCCTCCTGACTCTTGTGCTCTGCAGTGTCTATTGTTCTCATCTTTATGTCCATGTGTCCTCAATGTTTAGCTCCCACTTATAAGTGAGAACGTGTGATACTTAGTTTTTTGTTCCCATGTTATTTCGTTTAGGATAATGGCCTCCAGCTGTCTCCATGTTGCTGTAAAGGACATGATTTCAGTCTTTTTAATGGTTGCCTAGTATTTCATGGTGTATATGTACCACATTTTCTTTATCCAATCTGGAGTTGATGCTGCCCCACTCTTAGTGTATCCTCCCCTCTCATTCCCTGGGGTCTCTGTTGCTTCGGGTAACTATAATTGAGAGGGTGCGCGTAATCATTAAGCAGGATGACAGGTGTAAACTGAGACTGGCTCAGACAAACTTTGCTCATTCTATTTGTGCTGTGCACTTGCTTAAACTGGTTCTTCTTCCTTTGTGGCCTGGACCCTATTCTCAGGCCACATATGTCTTCTGGCTTCCCACTCCCTGTGATGTGATTTGAAAATTGCCTCTAGGTGGAAAGGCAGGGAATAATTAAAGGCTCACCTGGATTATTTTCCCATACTCAGTATCACAACACTCACTTTCTGTTTTTCTCAATGTCTGAAAACACTTGTTTAATATATTTTGATGAGTTTCTACATGTTTTTTGTTGTAGGAAAATATCTTTCTCTCTCTCTTTCTGGAGATAGGGTCTTGCTCTGTTACTCAGGCTAGAGTACAGTGGCAGAATCATAGCTCATGGCAGCCTCGAACTCCTGGGCTCAAGAGGTCCCTCTGCTTCAGCCTCCTAAATAGCTGGGATTACATGAGCACGCCACCATTCCTGGCTAAGTTATTTTTATTTTTTAGAGATGGGGGGTCTCACTACCTTGCCCAGGCTGGTCTTCATTTTTTTTGCCTCGAGCAGTCCTGCTGCCTCAGCTTTCCAAAGGGTTGGAAGCACATGCATAAGCTACTGTTCCAGGCCTGGTTTGGCTTTCTTGGGGCCTTTTAATTTAGTTTTTAATACACCTTCTTTTCAAAAATCCTAAAGTTATATAGCTGGATAATATTTTGACATTTTAACATATGCATTTATTTCTTTTCTTACATGTTTCCTCTTTTCTCCTCCTTGTCTATGTAAGATATTTACACATTTCTCTTTGCCTCAGGGGAAGAATGTGGCAAGATAGAAAATAGAAATAGTTTCCCAGTCATTCTGTGTTATTTCCAGCAACACTATCCGGGAGGGGACAAAAACGCAGAGAGAATGACTGTGACGTTCTGCTGGACAACAGGTCATGGGTAGCCTTAGCAAAACACCCATACTTATAATTGTGGCACAGAAATCTCAGAAAGGCTACTGTGTCTTAAAAGGCTGTGCAGAAAGTGATATGTTTATTTCAGGGATAATCAGTATGGCTTAACAAATGAGTGTCAGTGAGTATAAGAGTTAAGAGTTCTGGATTGGGGACAGAAATCAGGAAAAACTAAAATTACGTTTTCTACCACTGGACGAATGATGCTCAGAGTTGGAAATTACGTTAACTAATGGAAAATAAAGCGATATCCAACATATTGTTGGATATTGTAAGATTCACATGTATTACCTGTGGGATTTGTGTGGGATTACTAAGAATTATTTTACAGAACATGTCTATCTCCTGGATAAATCATAGCCTCCAGCACTGGAGCCAGTGCATTTTGAGACAATTGCTGTGACTGTATGGGGACATTTATTTGAAGTCTGGAGATGGACTTAGAATTTAAAACTGATTCCTGAAACTTCTGTAGACTATAGTAAACACTGTAAGATGACGATAGAATGATCTATAGCCCATAGTGGACATACGGTGGTTGGAAGATGAAAAAAACAAGGTAAAACCAGTCTTGTTAGAATTTTCTGAGAAGATTAAATTCTGTTAGTTTCAGAAAAATAACTAGAAATGAAGGAAAGTGGAAAATTACATATATGGCCTGTATTTCAGACTCTACATTTCAACAATAGTAA